GGGGGGGGGGGCTCGGAGAGCTGGGACACGACGCCTTAAACCAGCCAGACTGCCTGCTCAGTGAGAAGAGGGAACCCGGACCTCTGGGTCACTTCAGTTCCAACTGAACCATGATGTTTTCTGTCACTTTTAGCAGCGGGACTCCCCCTCCTTACTGTAATTATAGTTTTGGCCGCGTAACCGGTATCGCGGCAGACAACCCCCCCGTTTGCAGCCTTTGATGTGACAGAACTCGCGTGTTAGAAGACAGAACCATTAACGACTGACTTCCTCCCCGAGTTCTGACGTCGCTGCCTGAGAGCAGGGCTCATCACAGATTAGGAAGGAGGTCAGAAGGACATAAAGGGTGCTGGACAGCTGGACAACGACAGCCCTGCGGCCACGTTCCCGACAGGAGCAGCGAGGATGGCCCGTGTCCTCCCCGTCGCCAGCCCGGACAGCATCAGTGCTTGCTGCTGCCTCAGCACCGGCCGAGCGGGCGGTGGACCCAGAGTCTGCTGGCTCCAGGACGCAGCCCCAGGCTGGGAATATTGTCGCACTGAAGAACGAGACAGTTTGCAAGACTGCTGCTCACGCGGAACCCATTTACGGAAAGGGTGAGATCCCAGGGTTTTCACAGCCGGCTCTCTTCTGCACCGGAGGAGACAGACAGGTTGGTCCTGGAGGGACTCTGGATCAGCAGCATCTTTAACCAAGTCTGCAGCTGCTGCTCCTCCCTTCCCCGTCCACCCCGTCCCACCGAGGGGCAGGAGCCGTTACCTTGAACACCTCCTTGACGGCGTGCATGAGCTCCGGGCCCACCCCGTCTCCGGGCAGCATGGTGACCTGGAACGCGCCCTCAGACCTCGCGTTTTCTGACTGCGCAGAAAGCAAAGAAGAGTCAGACCTTCTGCTGCACCCCACAGCCGAATCCAAACAGGACCCCTAACCTGCAAGCAGCGAACTAGAGGAAGGTTACCTACAACGTGAAGAATATCCGCACCCATAGCCTAGTTTTTAGTAAGGAAAATTTGCTGCGGTACTAACAGTGAGCTCCAGCTTAAAGAGCTCCTGCTCCCGTGTTGTTCTGAACGCACCGCGCCGCAGAGGCACCCGATACCCTGTGAGCCACTGGCAACCGAAGACCCTTTCCTCAAACAGCATTTCCAGGTACGAGCTCTCCCTCTGTAGAGCAGAAATCCTTACTGGGAGCCAAGAGCGCTTGGCCCATTTCTGCTTCACGTCCTCAGGATCTCCTAAGCCTTCCTGTGCAACGGTCTCGTCTTCCTGTCGCGTTCACGCTGTCTCACGGCTTTCTGTTGAGCGTGCTTTTTTTTTCTGGTCCCGAAGACAAAATCAGTCTCAAAAATAATTCTTGAGACGTTCCACGGGCGATCCGCCTCCAAATCAACGCTGCCTGCTCCCCCACCGTGGCTGCCTCCCATTTTCACACAGTCCTTTTCACTAGCGCCCGTCTTCTTTCGCAAGTAATTCCCTGCACAGAGCTGACCCCCAGGCGAGAGCTTTCACAGAACCAGCCTCAGGGACCAGACAGCCACGGTCAGAGACAGGAGCTGCACCCAACAATTTAATCGGACAACAGAAGGAGCAAGCACGCAGCAACGCCACACGATGTGGGAACTGCACGCGTGTCAGCGACGTGAAGCGCAGGCAAACGGTGATCACGGAAAGGCAAAACGAAAGAGCAAGTGGGAAAAGAAAGGCGAGATGGTCATTACTTCTGATTTTTAATATCTCGGAATCAAGTTCCAGGGCAGAAAACCTCGCCTACCTAAATCTCAAGAAGCAGCAAAGCATCTGCAGAGGGACCGGCAGCACGGGCCCCAGCTCAAGTGCTGAGCCCTTCCCTTTAGTCTCTTAGGAGAGACTATTATTATTTAAATAATAACGTAAGTTATTTAAATAACGCTAGGCTAAACAACCGCAGCTCCCTCAGCCGCTCCTCATAAGACTTGTTCTCCAGACCCCTCACCAGCCTCGTTGCCCTTCTCTGGACACGTTAGTGTCCACCTGTTCTTCCACCCTTAGTTCCACAGAAAGCAACTCATCTCTCCACCACACCTCTTATCTCCTGACCGCGGAGTCTGAATAACGCTTGCACGTGCTAAGCTACCGCTCGCTCTTACCTTATTCAAGCTCCAGCAATTCTCGCGTTATTTCCCGTGTTATTCTATGTTAATTACTACAGGTAGCTACAGTAAATTCGGGATCAAATGGCAAGGACTGGACGAAAAGGATTTTCGCTACTGCGACCAACCCTGCACGCTGGCCAGTGGTCTTAGCTGCACCAGCAGAAAAGCACTCGCCATCGCAACCCTGCCGGCAACCCT